AATCTAGCTTAAGAACAATGATAATCAAACAAGTATATAAATGTAAAGCTAGAGTTTGAGTTTAGAAAACTTCTCAATTTGATAACAAGAGATGGAGGGATGATAGTTGGAAGCTCAAACTTCAATAGATAATCTCCTCAAGCTCTTGTGGAATTTGATTCACAAAATCGAAACACTCAAATGCTTAAAAGCTTATAAACACACTTTAAACAAACTTAAACCCTTGATTAAAACTTTCTTAAACTTGTTTTAAAACTCTCTTGGTTAGGTGGAGAGCTGAAGGCAATGGGGTATTTATACCCTCTCAAAACTTCAGCAAAACCCCAGCCAAAAAGACAAAAACAGCCCCAATAAACAGCTCAGGAAATAGCCGTTAGAAGTCCAACGGATCTATTGTCGGTCGACCGAAAATTCCGTCGGTCGACCGATGGAAAAATTCGGTCGACCGGCAGAGAGCAAAAGCACGAAGAAGAGTTCTGGACCTTCGTCGGTCGACCGGTGCGGTCGACCGATGGAGTTTTTCGGTCGACCGGACCGGTCGACCGACAGACTCTCTGTCGCCCAGTGAGAATATGAACTCATGTTCGGTCGACCGAAATCTGACATATTCAAAAACTGTTTTGCTGATTTTAAAACCCTGTTTAAAAATATCAAATAAATTCAGAAAAATGTAAAACTTTGGGGAATGATTGTAGACATGATAATACACATGCTACAAAAACTGGTTTTCTAAAAAGACTTCCCAAATGAGAAATACCATCATTTTACAAAATAGTCCAAAACATGAAAATGTAAACATATGAATCTTGACATTTTAGCTTAACCATGTTTTGAAACATTACAAAATGATTTTGTAGACTTAATAAAAGATGTATATGATTATTGTTAAGTCTATAAACCAAGAAAACAATATTTTCACAAATACAATAGAAAGTAAAACGTATGAGTATGTATATGAAAATATATTTGTTTCATATCTATGAAATTAAACCAAAACAACTTATCCACATAGAAAACAAGCATGTATACACATTTTTTGGAATTTATTTGTAAAAACTTTGTTTGTGGATAAAACTAAAAACCAAGATGTATATGTATATAACTATATATATATATATACTAAGAAACTAATAAATATGTGTGTGAATATAATATTGAGCTTAGAGTATATAACACACATAATATAAACCTATACTAAATATACCCAAGCTTGATCTTGATCTTCATTGAAGCTCAACTTGGTACACATGCGGATGAAGCTTGAACTTGATCTTTAACTTTGAATTTGCAAGGCTTCACCGACATTCCGCCAACCTCCTTTGGATATGATCGTTGAAGCGCAATTCCATCCATCCTCCAACTACGTTGTTTGTCTATAAAACATAGGAATGCACAAACACTAGACAAACAACATTAGTAATAAATTGTTTGTTAAACATCATCAAAACAAGAAGGCCAACAACTGTGTGTAAGAAGAAGACAGGTTGAAGCAAGATAAGATAGAAAGTGCTCATTTGGCATATGCTTCTAAGGATAAGGGTAAGAAAAGGAAGAATGATAATGAAGTTGCTAAGGGTCCAGTTCAGAAGAAACAACATAAGGATAATCAGGATTGTTTCTTCTGTAACAAGCCTGGACACGTAAAGAAGGATTATATAAAATATCACGCCTGGCGTGCTAATAAGGGGTTTCCTGAGCTACCGAAAGCCAAGTGATGTTGAAAGACACATCTTTGTGGGCGACGGACAATCAGTAGATGTGAAAGCAATTGGGCACTTTAGGTTGTTGTTAGGAACATGTTCTTATTTGGATTTGAAAGATATTTTTGTTGTACCGTCTTTTAGACGGAATTTAATTTTTGTTTCTGTATTGGACAAATCAGGTTATTCTTATTTATTTGGAAACAGTCAATTCAGTTTATCTTTTAATTCAAATGTTATGGGAACCGGTTACTTGAGTAATTATGACAACCTATATTTGCTTGATACAATTGCTTCTTATAATGAATCCTTGCATGTGGAATCACGTGGTACTAAGCGTAAATTAAATAAGGAAAATTCGGCGACATTATGGCATAAGCGCTTGGGTCATATCTCAAAAGGTAGAGTTGAGCATCTTGTGTCTGATGGCATTTTGGATTCCCTTGATTTTTTGGACTTTGACGTATGTGTTGAATGTATCAAGGGAAAACAGACCAAAGTTAAGAAATTAGGTGCTAACAGATCTTCGGATGTCTTAGAATTGATACATACGAATATTTGTGGGCCATTCCCTACGGAATCCTGGAATGGTCAATAATATTTTATATCATTCATAGACGATTACTCACGTTATAAGTACCTATATCTTATTCATGAAAAATCTGAGTCTCTGGACATGTTCAAAGCCTATAAAGTTAAAGCTGAGAATCAACCCAACAGAAGAATTAAAACCGTTAGATCTGATCATGGTGGTGAGTACTACGGTAGATATGATGGTTCAGTTGAACAACGTCCAGGACCATTTGCTAGATACCTAGAGGAATACGGTATCGTCCTACAGTACACCATGCCGGGTTCACCTAGCATGAATGGTGTAGCTGAAAGACGAAATAGGACTCTTAAGGATATGGTAAGAAGTATGATTGCTCATTCTTCTTTACCAGAGTCTCTCTGGGGAGAAGCACTTAAGACAGCAGCTTACATTCTGAATAGAGTACCAAGTAAAGCAGTTGCTAAAACACCTTATGAGCTTTGGACTGGTCGAAAGCCCAGTTTAAAGCATTTACATATTTGGGGATGTCCAGCTGAGGCAAGGCCTTATAGGCCAAATGAAAAGAAATTGGACTCCAAAACAGTTAGCAGCTACTTTATTGGATACTCTGAACGCTCTAGGGGCTATAAGTTTTATGATCCCACTATAAGGAATATTTTTGAGACGGGAACAGCAACATTCTTTGAGGATGTGAGTTTGGGGGGGAGAAATAAGGTTAGAGACATTAGTTTTGAGGAGGAATTGGTTTCAGATCCAATCCATACAGTTACTTTTGATAATATTCAGGTTCCTATACCTGTTGTTGCTCAAGAAGTAAATCCAGAACCTCAAGATGATAATGTTGAACAACTCCCTGTTCCAGAAGAACAAACTCAATAGCGTTAAGAACCAGTGCCATTAAGGAGATCCACGAGAGAAAGGAGAAATGCTATTTCGGATGATTATATTATATATTAAGGAGATCCACGAGAGAAAGGAGAAATGCTATTTCGGATGATTATATTATATTTCTTCAAGAACATGAGGAAAGTAGTGGAATGTTGGAAGATGATCCAATCAACTTCTCTCAGGCCATAAAAAGTTCTAACTCTCAACAGTGGATTGATGCCATGAATGAAGAGTACAAGTCTATGCGAGACAATAAGGTTTGGAAACTTATCCCATTGCCAGAAGGTACAAAACTAATTGGTTGTAAATGGATTTTTAAAACCAAGCGGGATGCAAATGGTAATGTGGAGAGGTATAAGGCACGTCTTGTGGCTAAAGGCTATACTCAAAAGGAAGGCATTGATTATACAGAGACTTTCTCTCCGGTTTCATCGAAAGACTCTTTCAGAACAATCATAGCACTTGTTGCTCATTATGATCTTGAGTTACATCAGATAGATGTTAAGACTGTATTTCTCAATGGAGACATTGATGAGATGATTTATATGGTGTAACCAGAAAAGTTTGTGTCAGGAGACCCAAAGAATATGGTCTGCAAATTAAGGAAATCCATCTATGGACTCAAGCAAGCTCCTCGTCAATGGTATCATAAGTTTCAACAAACAATTATCTCGTTCGGTTTTGAGATGAAAATTATTGATGACTGTGTATATCACAAGTTCAATGGTAGTAAGTATATCTTTCTGGTTCTGTATGTCGATTACATATTGCTTGCCACAAATGATATAGGCATGCTGCATGAAACCAAGAGATTTCTATCAAAGAATTTTGAGATGAAAGATCTTGGGGACGCCTCTTTTATATTAGGAATCCAGATACATCGAGATCGCTCTTGGGGTATTCTTGGATTATCACAAAAGAGCTATATCGATAATGTACTTAAAAGGTTTGGCATGCAAGACTACCGATCAGGAGACACCCCTGTGGCTAAAGGAGACAAATTTAGTCTCAATCAGTGCCCTAAAGGTAACCTTGAAATTCAGGAAATACAAAAGATTCCTTATGCTTCGGCTGTAGGAAGTCTAATGTATGCTCATGTATGTACGCGTTCGGATATTGCGTACATTGTTGGGATGTCAGGTAGATACTTAAGCAACCCTGGTATGGATCATTGGATAGCAGTCAAAAGGGTTATGAGGTATCTTCAGAAAACAAAAGATTATATGCTCACATACAGAAAATCAGAACAGTTGGAGGTCATTGGGTACTCTGATTCTGATTTTGCTGGATGCCAAGATAGCAGAAAGTCTACATCAGGCTACATTTATATGTTAGCAGGAGGAGCTATATCATGGAAAAGTGTCAAACAAACACTTGTAGCTTTCTCCACTATGACAACAGAATTTGTAGCTTGCTATGAGGCATCCAATCAGAGAATATGGCTGCGAAACTTTGTCACGGGACTGCGCATTTTGGAAAATATGGAAAGACCACTAAGGTTATATTGTGACAATAAATCTGCAGTAATGTATTCCAATAACAACAGGAGCTCAACTAAGTCAAAACATATTGATATTAAGTTCCTAGTTGTGAAAGAAAAGGTACAGAGTGGACAGATATCCATAGAGCACATTGGGACAAACTCCATGATAGCTGATCCTCTTACTAAGGGACTGCCACCTAAGGTCTTTCATGAGCATACTGCTCATATGGGTGTGGTATTATTTGAGGATATTATGTTTTAGTGGGAGTTTGTATTTGTGGTGCTTTATGTTTGGTTGTATTGTCTGATCAGAATAAAGTATTCAGTTAAGACACTCTGTTACATTATGTTTGGTTTTGACCTCACTAAGGAGGACCAGTTGAAAATAGACATGTACTGATCACATTGCATGTAATTTTCATGCTGCACATCCATGATTGATCTATGTCGTTTGATTGTATTGGTATATGTGACCATTGATGGGTCGAGTCACGATAAATGTGACGAAGGCCGCTTTGATCCTATATTGATATAGTCAATGGACGAGATTGTTCGGAAATACCTTTCAGTGATAGCAATTTTGAGCTCATAAGGTTATACATAATTTAAGGAATCATATGGTGCCCAAGTGGGAGATTGTTGGATTTAAATCTAATTAAATCTATTTGTGGGCACATATGATTAATCTGTGTGTATTGTTATCCTTCAGGATAACCCACTAAAGTGATCAATCAATTTGGGTTAATGGGTATTTTAAATATAATCATGGGGTTATATGTGCAGATACCAGATTGTAATTGTGATTTGATGAGGGGCCAAATTGTAAATGTATAACATCTATAAATAAGAAGTTATGATCCCTAATCTAGGGTTACATTCTCTAATTCTCTTCACCCCCATCTAGAGAAAAATTTGGCTAGAGAAACCCTAAGGTTAGAAGATCCAGAACCCATCTCAAGTTTAACCTATGGATTCAGGTATAAGCTTCCGCTCTTTTCTTTTGATTCTTGTAAATCTCTTTGAATTAATCATGACTTTATGGTATAGATCTCAAGTTTTTATAAGATATAACAGTAACTTTGTGTGATTTGTTGGATTCATTGCATGAAACTTTTGGCATATTTGTTAGCTCTCGCATGATCTCCAAATTATTGAACACGTGAGTACACTCCTAAACTATAGGCGGG